GGTATGTGTGGCCATAGCCTAGGGCCTTTAAAATCTGCTCACATTTGCTGATGATCAGCAAATCAAGTGATTTGATTAGCAGCACCTGGCTGCTACCCACCATCCCTATAGAAACAATAAGCATGCACTTAGTTTTTCACCAGGCTGCATAGTGTCATATGAAATGTTTCTTTTCACATGACTATAATTTAATATAATAAATATGATATATCCAAATGACATGAGATCCTGCCTCTCCCTCTGTTGGACGTCTCTTTCTGTTAAAAGTGAGTTTTTCTTTCTCATTGTTGCCAAGCGTTTCCTCATGGGGGATCGCCTTATTTGTGGGGTTCTCTCTGTAATACTGTGGGGAGGAGACTGTTGCTGTGAATTGGTGCTATATGAATAATACTGAACTGAAATGCACTGCTTTGGTGTGCGCTCCCCAGTTTGGGAGATTTCTGTTGCCTCCTCTTGAATATCAAGGGACTTGCCCTGTTTTACTCAGTGCATCAGGGAAATACAATTATAGCCCAGGTACCTGTGAACTGACGTGTGATAAGAGGCTTACTCTCATGACAACAACAGGGTGTTAAAATTAATGGCATAGCTAGCTGCACACTTCCTTTGATTGTCTGATATTGTTAGCCGAAAGGAAACAGGTCCCACAAGAAGCCTCAACAATAAGGTTTGTGTAATTTTTAAGTAACCAGATTCAAGGAAAGCGACATTACAAGTGTTATCTCCAGTGTCACTGCATTACAGAGAAAGGTCTGCATCAGATGGATAACAAAGGAAAATGTATCACAGTGGGGATTTTAATGACTTACTATTCCACCACCATGCTACGAGGTGGCATGGTGGTAGGTTGGATAGCACTGTTTAAACCGTGCTTGAAGGGTACAATAAGTGCTGTGTGAATGTGTTGTGCTTCTGGAATCAATAAGACTAGAAAGGCACTTTTAAAGGGGCTTTTAAAGTGCACAACATTACATAAGTTGAAATAAGTACAAGGTAGTGTGTAGAGTTTAGCAGTGCAGACCGTCCTGCAACGCTTAATTAGATTTTCATTAAATTCTTAGATTGTACCGCCTTACAGAACCTCTAACATGGTTACAGTCTGATTCTGTTTGTTCAGAAATCAAAAATGCGAGTCCCAGAGTCAACCTAATCATGGTGTGTTCATTATTAACATGTTACAAATTTAACAAATGCCAGTAAAGGTTAAGTTATGTGTTCAATAACTACCTTCCAACCAAGCCACCCACTCTTGGTACTGCTGAACCTTGGACAGCGACGGTCAGTCATCACGATAAAGGGCCAACAGCATGAAAACGCTGCCTCTAAGTTACTAAACTGCATGTAAACATGTTTCCTATTTCTGTTTAAGCTGGTTTAAAATACAAAGAAATTATTCCATTTGTTAACTTGAAAACTTTTGTGGTGTTCCCAACATGCTATTCAAAAATCATTCAACATTTTGCTCATCTTCCCTCTACCGCTTAAGCAAAAGAAGATAAAAAAATGTTTTATTGATACAGTTTTGTTCAGCAGGCACTTTTCTGTTTTTTTGTCTCGTTCAAGCAGCACCAGTGTCGTTCCCGCTGTCCTCTCTGTCTCTGCAGGCGCCTGATCAGAGGATGAGGGCAGCTTTCCTCAGGTGTAAGTATATCATCTTTTTTCCCTTAAGTATGACTCAGAAGCATGCTTTTTTCCTTTTTTTTTTTTTAGTGCCTTTTTTAGTCCCTGGTACACCCATTGAGAGCAAGCACCCTAATTGTCATTACCCATCTTTCTCTGCTTTGTCACCTCTTTTCCCTCAGTCTTTGCTTGTTCTGCGTCCTCCTACTTGACCAGATAATAAGAATCCTGCTGGGAAATCTGAAACCTCAGTCTAGATGCTCATTAATGATGGATGGACATCATACTGTATTTATGACTTCCTGGTCTATTATTAAGATCAGCACCATGTTCCAACACGACTGAGCCAGCTGACACAATGACAGCATTACCAGCACCTTGTCAGGGTTTAATAATTCATTTGGTCAGTGTCTGTGTGTCGTTTGTGTCCACTGTGCCAAATAGTCAACTGAAATACTGCAAGGCTTAAACGTCAGTGGGAAAACCTCTACAACCTGACAGAGTAGACAACAGCTGGTTCTTTTCTCTGCTAAATTATGAAGATAATAGCAAGTTTTCTCCTGATGCCAACTTTATTCTGACTTCATAAGAGGAGGAAAATCAAATGGAGAGTAGGGAGAATTAGAATGCAGCTGGTTGGTTTGGCATCATGACCATCTTGGAGTTTTGAAAACAGATTTGATCAGCAAGCGATGGATCTTACTGTGAAACTGTTCTCATTGGCTAGGGACTTGTCAATCACAGGTTGTTAGCTAATGAAAATATCTCCCATTCTAATAAACAGAATGCCCAAAATTTTTGAGATGAAACTGAAATGAATTGCTCATCAGGAAGTTGTTTACAAAGGTCAGACCTGAGACACCTTTACTTCCAGACTTCTAAAGAACGTTTAAATTGGCTTCATGTTTCAGAATTTAAAGTTTTATGCATCATTTACCCTCAAACACGCACTCCTCTGCTTTACAGAAAAGTGTTCTGTAGTGTTATGGCCACCTGACGAGTTGTAACATTTCATTAGTGAGCTACATTTGCAATCCAACTGTTTCATTCAGAGCCTTTTTGGTGTTTAACTGTTAGTTTTTTTCTTTCTGTTTCCTTGCTCTAGTTTCGTGCCATCTGACCTTTGACCCCGAGACAGCTCATCCTACCTTGGTTCTCCTGGAGGGGCCCCAGGGTGCTCATTGTGGCGAGGAGCCACAGCCCTACCAGCCTCATCCACAGCGCTTTGACTCAGTGGCGCAAGTCCTGTGCAGGGAGGGCCAGTTTGGCGGTGCCAGCTACTGGGAGGTGGAGTGGAGAGGAGGTGGGTGGATTGACATAGGCGTCACCTACCGTGGGATCGGGCGCAAAGGTGGCGGGAAGCCCTGCCTGCTTGGGCGCAACGAGCACTCTTGGCGGCTGAGGTGTAGTCATGCTGGATATGCTGCATGGCACGATAACCGCAAGACCACGGTCGCTGCACCGCCCTCCCCCAGGATCGGCGTGTTTCTGGAGCGCCAGAAAGGAGCTTTGTCCTTTTACAGCATCTCGGACTCCATGGTGCTCCTGCACACTTTCCATTGTTCGTTCTCTCAGCCGCTATACCCCGCCTTCCGTTTGGATCTGGACTCAACTCTTGTCATCTGCCCTCATGAGGGAAGCTAACTATGCCCCCATGTTTTCCCAGGACGTGTCATTTATCTTCTGGAGGAAAAGGCTGTTCGCTCTGCCATTCGATATAATGAGTGAGTGGTGGGGAAATGGCACTTTTCTGTGTAATTCTCTTTGACTGTAATATTCTCTTTGATAACTGCCAGGTTGAGCGGCAGAATTGCATATTTTTTTTAACAGCATGCATGTTTTTTACAGTGTACTTTATGTCGTATCTTTATTACATTAAAGCCCATGTGTCATCATTTAAACCAGATACACACAGGTTAATAAATTTACACATATACATATATATAAACTGATGTGTTCAGCAAATTGAAAATATACCCTCAAGTTGGATTTTATGCTAGCTTTGAAATACTGCAAAAGTTGTGTACTTGGTTCCCACGGCTAATTAGCTAACTGGTAACAGGCCATAGACCATGGGTTCATCACATTGTGAAAGACTGTTTGAGCAAATATTTAAACAAGAAAACAGTTTCTCAGAAATGGGAAAGAATTTCTGGTCCATAATAAGCCATTATCATGGGTGATTTCCACATCTGTAAAAGCGCCATTATTGTTGGCTGATACATGCAAGTTTGGGGGCAACACATGCTTTCAAAGCCAGTATTTTCAGGGAAGTCTGTGCTTATTTAAAGTTACAGTAAGTGGGTTTTTAATGTTATTTATTAGAAAAATAGTGTACTCAAAAATATACATAGATCAGTCAGTAATTATGCCATCCAACAAATTGATGCATTCTTATACATACATACATAATGCCAGCTAACAGCAGCTAACAACGGTAAAAACAGCGGTGCTTATCAGCAGCTCACCGAGGTTAGCTTCACTGACTTATCGGCTCGAATCGTAGTCCCTTCACAAAATTTTACAGCATGTACCAGAGTAAACAACATATTGATAGCTAAATGTCGAACGGCTGTGGTCAGAGGTGATTCGTGTGTCCAAAAAAAGTACTGCAAAACTGCAGAACAAATATTTATTGTTTAATTCCCGATTTATTGCTAAGTGAAAAGTGTTTGTCCACCAGCAGGCACCGTAGCTGGAATTGTTACAATTGAATTGAGATGAGTGAGTAATCAGAGCTCAGTTGACTGCAATTTACTGACATCTGGTGGTGAGATTTTACACACTCTACCTTTAAGTAAAACACTGCCAGACCACATGAGTACTGTTGAACAATTTCTTTTTACTTTTAATTACAAAAAATTATTAGTTTTAACAGGAATGTTTACTTTGTTTTAAATTTAATTTAAATATGTGGTTAAAATAACTTCTACAGTGTGCTGACCTTGTTGTAATATCGGGTGGTATTTGTGTTCCAGTAAGACATGGATGAGTTACTATGAGTTAACATACAATTATAAATATGCTCATATTTTGTAATATTTTTGAACATTTTTTGTGTTTTTGCCTCTGTGACAGATGTTTACTGGGAAAAAGCCATATTCACAGATTTACTGAGCAATGGAGTATAAAAAGAAGAACCACACACTTCAGCGTGTTTGTAGAAATCGTTTGACTGGAAACATGTGCGACAGTGTTTCCCACAGATTCTAAATCAGCAACAAAGAAATATTCATTGGTTTCTCCTCCCTTTGTGTTTGATGTTATTTTCATTGGGTTGTACATTTATAGGAGTCAAAGGTTATTTTTTTCCATTATCAGTTATACTAATGTGACGTGGGAAACCTCTGGGCATTTTTTAAATTAAACCTGCAGAAGTGACCTCAGCTTCAGATAAATTAAACGTTATTTTGTCAAGTCATTTTCTTTGGGTAATGTTTTTCATGTTTTTTCATGTAAGAGTCTATACATGTTGCATTGCATTAATCTTAAATTAAATGAAGGAATAGTTTAATATGTTAAAAAAAATGCTTACAGAATTCTGTTGGGAAAAGTTGTAGCACTATAAATATGGATGTACAATTTCTTAAGGTACTCAACGGGCAGGTTGTCCCACTTCTTGTTTGTTTAGCCTGAGTTCTGTCTTATCATCCTTGAATGATTCTGTTATGTTGACATTAAGACTCTGTGGAAATCATACTGGCTGTTTATCTTGCTGCTGGAGACATCTCTTTATGACTTTTGTCAAATATTTAGGGTCAGTGATGTGCTCCAGAGGAAAACTGGGACTAATCATGAGCCTTTCTTTGTGGTACTGTGCAATGGAAAACAATCAAAAGATCCAAGTGCCTCAAACATTTGCACAGAACAACACTTGCTATCATTGCAGCACTTTGATTGCTTCTAAGTCTATGATTATAACTTTTATCTAAGCAACTCAGATTCTATCAAATCACATACTCAAATCACAATCTCATTCATTTTTATTGATGTAGCGCCAAATCACAACAACATTCGGCTCAAGGTACTTTGTACTGTAAGTTAACACCCCACGTTAATACAGAGAAAACCCAACAATCAAATGACCCTCTTTGAGCAAGCACTTGGTGACAGTGAGAAGGAAAAACTCCCTTTTAACAGGAAGAAATATCCATCATGCAAACCCTTGAGTTGGTTCGGGGT